CTTTTTGAGCTTATTATCTCCTGAGTATGTTAAGCCATTTTTCGCAAACATAGCTTAAAATGTACGTGTCCGTTAACGTTTTCACTGAGGCATAGTCAAATTTCGCTTCGAGGGCAATAATGTGAACAACAATAAAAAAAATCGTATYTTGAAAATTTCTTTATAAACTATATTTACTCAGCTTTCAGAAAATGTATACTTTGTTTGTGTTATACTATAAAGCCAGCGCGTTATTTAAGTTTGCGCGCATAGTGGTCGTAAACGTATCCTAATACCTTAAGAAACTGCCAGTCAACACTCTCCCTACCCTCCCCTCCCCCTCTCTCCAGGACAATCAAAGGTTTTTTTCTTTCTAAGGGTATCCAGAGTCATTTTCTCTGTGTAGTCTTATCAGAATCACCTTTTCTGTATGTTAATAAAATGCACTTGCCTGACCTCTAAACTCTAAAGTTTGATTCCTGGACTCTGCATCACATGTGAGTAGAGTTTGTTAGGTCTCTCCCTTAATTTGAGACAATCTGTGAGTTGGCAGTAGCCTAACTTTGATCAAACCAGAGGTTGTTTCAGGTTCAATCCGTGAGTTTGCCATACCCCGAATTTGATCAAACCAGAGGTTGTTTTAGGGTTCAATCTGTGAGTTAGCCATGCACTGACTTTGATCAAACCAGAGGTTGTTTCAGGGTTCAATTTGTGAGTAAGCCATACCCTGAATTTGATCAAACCAGAGGTTGTTTCAGGGCTCAATCTGTGAGTTAGCCATACCCTGAATTTGCTCAAAGCAGAGGTTGTTTCAGGGTTTAATAAAATTTGAAGTTTTTTATTCTTACTTTATGTTGGTTGGGGACATCTTCTTGGTTTAGAGGGTAAAGGCGAACGAACTTGAAGCTCTCAGCCACCACGTAGAATGGCTTGTTAGCTGTTTTTGTCATTACTGCCATTTGATACGTACCAATCTACAAACGAAGGAAGATATAAGAAAAGAAAAACATTAAGACAACATCTATCATTTTCAAAACACCTTGTAAAATACCAAAATATTCCTACTCTCTTTGAAATAATGTATGAAAATATAATTAGGGACATAAAAGCTAAAGCTTGAAAAGAAATAGCTTTAGAGTTACCAAGACTTACCTTATTAATGATTCCTCCACTTTCAACAACTCCTTCTGCACCAACAAGAACTAAGTCAACTTTCTCAATAATATAGCTACAAGTATAAAAGAAGAAAGAAGGCCAGTTGTCAAAGTCCAAAAGAGGGTTTTTGTACTAACCTTTATCTATCCTTTATCTACAGCCAACCTCTATGTACTAGTCACTTGATAATAGACAAATTACAGCATGTCAGAATGCAGCTCAATTTGTAGGACATAACAATAGGTTTCCAATTCTCTAAATTCTTTTGTTGTGTCCTACAAATTGAGCTGCTTTGACGTCACATGCAAGAGTTCTACAGAGCTCTTAACCTTGGGCATAATATTTCCTCAATTCAGACCAGGTGTTATTCTCTTGAGAAATAAGATTATTCCTTTAAGTTGTAATCGTATTGATGAGCTTTCTCATTTGCAACCGTTAAGCAAAGAAAAGAAAATTTAGGGAATTACAAATAGTCTGAAACATTTGGTAAAACAACAGGCCCAAGGCAAAAAGGTCTATTCACTGATGGTGGTCACTTCGTTGACTGTAAAATAGTATAATGTAAAACTAGTTTACTAACCCAACGGCAGAATCTAATATTATTCTGGATGGTATTCCAATTTCTTCAAGCTGGTCATGCATAAGGCACCTTAAAGTTACAAGACAATAAATATCAATACAATAGATTCAGAAAAAATGATCTAAATAACATAGGTTCAAGAGGGTAAAATTGTAGTGACATAAGCCAATGGGATGTGACCTTAAGTCTGAGATAGCAGGACGTTCGAGATATCCAGGCCTTGATATACCCATGATATATTGTGTTCATACTCATATACTAACCCAGATTTATCAGGACAGGACTCTGTGATAAAAACATTAAATCGTTTCTTTTGTATGGCTGCCATTCTAAGTATTTCCAGCACTACTCTTGACCTTGAATGAGTTAGAATTGTCTTGAAACAAGGAAAACATAGATGTTATTGAAAGCAAAGGATTTTWAAAAAAAAGTAATGAGAAAGTGTTTCAAGATTTCACTTACAGCACCATCTTTGATGAATGAGTCGCCCAGCTTTGCTATCTTTGCTCTTGCTGCTGCTGCTCTCTTGAGGAAAAGCTGACCTGAAAAATACGAAAACAAGAAATTTTCTATCAAGTCTGTGTGGGACAATAACAACAGAGCCAGGCTCTAACAAGATGATTGCCCAAATAAGCATTTTAGAAGTTGATTTTTGAGGAGGGATGAAAACTGGAGAACCCATAGAAAAACCTTGGAAACAATGGAGAGAATCAACAAACAACTCTATTTATGATACTGATTAAAAGGTTCAAACCTGGGTTGTATTGGTGAGACACCACCATGCTTCCCTTATGTAAAGGAATGTTAGTAAGTATGGGCTTCAACAACCCCCTCCTGCAGGAGTTATGGATACTTTGTTAAACTAAATACTATTAATCCTTTATGGTATATGTAATTACCTCTCTCGACAAGAAGTCTTTTACATTCTTTAAAATCCTAAAAAGAAAATATGAAAATCAGAAGAGTAAGCAAGAGCTAAGAAAAAGAAAACAGTTGCAATCCTTCTGATTCTGATGAGCTTCTATTAACTCTGATTCTAACACCTTTTTCTGATTTTCATATGCTGCTTCTGCCTCTGATGCTGTTGCAAGTGAAAACCAGTTTTATTGTGGTGCTGTCCCACTCAGTCCTTGTCCTTTTTTTACCATCTCTTTTTCATTCTTTTTCCCACCCCATTTCCTTTTCATAGGTTTCTCTACTTACTGGATTATCAAGAGAAGCTAGAGTAATAAACCTGAGAAACAGTTCACATCCAGACGATACTGATGTCACAGCTACATCAGCTCTTGTCAGAGTCTGTATGACTTTTTGAAGAAGGTTTCTGAGCTCATACAAAGTTTCAGCTACAAAATAGTAACAAAAGAGTGAGATTTTGGAGTTATATGTACCAGCACTTAAATCATAATTATGTCAGGTTAGGCAAAAAACAATTAGGGATAAGGGATAAAAGGTAAAATAGTTTTGGAAATATATAAGCTTTAGAAAATTAATATGAAATAGAGTTTGAGCAATCATTGACACAGGAAAAATAATATCCTTGTGATTTAGCAAAAACAATCTTGAAACCATAATAATGCTAAGAGTTCTACCTTTACACAATGGAATTAGCGTCTAGAATTATGTAAATCTTATTAGTATGTTTTTTATTTTTTCACGTGCCAAGAAAAAATCACTTTGATCTACAAATATCCTTACCTGATGTGGTGTTGATAAACTCGATCAACGTGTGTATAGCAGCTACAGTCACCGACATCCCGGGATCTTTGTCCATACATTTTTCAAAGAACGTCACAGTTTCTTCAACGGAAAAAAATATCAATATTATAAGCATTATTTTATCAAAGTCCGTGAGAAAGACTGAAAACACAAACCTTCGACCTCCATTTTGAATATATGGAAGATAACCGCTGACAGTGGCACTGCGGTCGCTAGTTCCAAGAAAATCCAATTAGGAAGCAGCACTAGCAACCTCACTTGCAGCATTTAAGAATGCAGTTGCAGATATTTATTAACTTGTTGGACAATTACTATTTATTATTATTTATTCTATTTATTAATATGTTAATTATTTAATCATTTTAATAATTATTTAGCGTGGTCTAAAATGCTCAGTATTGAGCGAATGACCTAACTGGTAAATGTAAAATAATGAGTGGGATCCCTGTGTTGAATTTTATCTAATGCGTCGATTTGAGCGCGAGTGACTTCGTTTGACATCGGACATCGGCCTTTACCTTTTCGGGTTTGATCGGTAACCTTCGGCCCGAAGCGCGCAGTTAGCAGATAACATTCATTAGCCCTAAACCAGTAATATATACAGTATGGGTGGCCGTGTTGTATCAGACTACGAACTCGAGGCGTAGCCGAGAGTTTGTATATTGGATACAACACGGACACGAATACTGTAGATTACTTATCAAACGTCTAGGTTAGTTCCTTTGTGTTTCGCTTAAATTTTCAAGATAAAAGTGAATCTGGCCAAGAAAATCCACCTTAAAGTTCATGCAAATGAACAGGATTCTGTATCTGATTTACAGAACTCTTCACGGTCGTGATTTCTGTTGTGTTTTCCTCATGAATTATTAATGAGTTTAATAACTATGGCTATAGACTTTTCAGTAGAGTTTTAATTTAAAAATTGATTACAAGAATCTTTCCAAGGGGCAGTGAACAAAGATTGCGCACGTTCAGAAAGTAAAGAAAAACAGCGGAAAAAATTCTATCTTCGCTGGCGTAGTTGTCAACAGTAATGCTACTTAACTAACGATAGTAGTAAGATGATAATTAAGAAATGCGCACGTGTTTACAGTATTCATTTGTGGTATCTGTTTATCCATTTCAATTATTTCGCTTATTTTCTCTGCGCGTATTTCTTCATTCAATTTGTCCCTTTAAAACTATATCCTTCTCCACTTCTACATAACAATCGTTTATCCCACTTCATGATCAACGTGACTATTATCACAGATTCCGTTTTCCGGTCCCACTAGCTATATGTGACTCGTTTAAATTTTCTGTTTGTATTTTCTTGTATTTCGGCAAATTTACCGTTTCCATCTCAATCAGATGGCTTTGAGCGTCTCGGAACACTAAGCTATCTCTCTGGCCTTGCGTGATCAACGTAAAATTTAAAAAAGCTATATTTACATTTTCTGTTTATCGATCAATCCTGAACAACACTTTTCTCATGCCAGAGACTAAACATATTAAGCACTCCGTTCTCTGCATGGGTCATTACGTATCCTTGGTAACATCCAGAACGATGGAGTAACCAACCACCTTAATCTCTTTGTATTTAACGCTTATTCCTGTGAAGTGGTGAGTGCGACAGCCAATCGTTCACAAACGCGAGCACGTTCATGAAACAATTCTAGAAAAGTTCGATCTGGTTTTAGATACCAAAACCCCAGAAGAAGGCATGTCCCAGACGTGTTGCAGAGGCTGTTCCAAAATGTGTTGATTTGGGGAGGATAAGAGTATCACCATAGAAACGATGTGCACATATGTTGAACGTTGAACAAACAGAGATTTTACATTATTTCTAACGGAAGATTTGAGAACGTGATTAGTATGTATATCCCAGCAAAATATATTCTTTTATGATTTGAATCAAATGCCGCGCTTTTATTCCGTTCAAAAGATACTTTTTCATTTCAATTCACGATGTCCTTTTTATCGTCTTAAAACTTATCCTACTTTCTAATTCTTTTTCTTTCGCAAGGCTACTGTTTATTTAGTTATAGACTAAACAATTCAATATGAATAAATCTTTCTCGGTTTCCTTTATATGAAGTCTTAGATTTAAGCTGTGTATTTGCAAAAGTCACCAGACTTCAAGGCTTTAGTCAAGGTTCCATTCACAAGATTCCCCCAAGTCACGTTTTATTTCGAGCAACTTTTCGTAATTACGATCTAAGTGTCAGTCTGTCATCGCGTTTGTCAGGACTGATTGCGTTTAATCAAACTTTATTCACTTTACGAGAAAAATTAAGAACGTTTAAGAAATGGAGGGTTATTGCTAGATTATTCTTTATACTCTTATCGTTCAGTGGTTTTGAATTAATGTTTAGGAAATAACTGTCTATCCGTGCAACTGCGGTCCAATATCCAATGTGCAATGTTGAAAAGTTCAAGGGTATTCCGACAATGCATATAAGTGTTTTGTAGGGTTTCATTCTCTATATAAAATGAATTTAAAAAATAAGTCAACGAATTTCGGATTTCAAAGTGGCCGGAAACCAAGGGAGTGTTTTGTGTAAGTTAAACAACATGGTGGCTATGAAATCCTAAAATCCAAAATAAAAGGGCACATTCTAGATCAACATCATTCATCTAATAATAAACTATAAAGTACTCAAAGCATAGTAAAAATCTAGCGTTTTGTTCAGATTCCATAAATCTTATTGTCTTAATCAATATAAACCAGGAAGTTTTGAAAAAAAATCCAGTGAAAAACAAGCTGTGCAACTGTTCCACTCAACCGAATACTTGAGTGAACATTCTGCTTGCTAATTGTCCTCTTTTAAAAGCGAACAGCCACTTCGGGGGAAAAAACAAATCTAACCAAAGCAAAGAGACTTCGTCGAAACATATTTAACAACTACCGCTTAGGACTTTTTGTTCAGCATTAATGGTTTACGGCTGATATCGTCTTTAGACAAGAACCGAAAGGAGATGGATTTATATATTATAAATATTTAGAACAAATTACTGCAGTGCCGGAGTTGTGTGTTGATCAAGCAATTAAACGCATATGAATCATATTGAAAAGAGCTTTTAAGTGCTAAGAAGTTAAATTGTTGACAAAAGAGTGGAATAGTCATGAAAATTCTTGCCGTATCGTGTAAAAAAATAAGGTTGACATATTTTTCTATTCTCTGGTATCCAATAAGTTGCGAAAGTAGCACTCAGAGTTTACCCCAAGTCGTACAATAATTAGGAAATTAAAACACTGATGACAGATCCTTTTCTTTTTCTCTTTCTTTCTATTTTCTTCAAATATTTCAGTCAGCTTAACCAAATCGAACAAGGATAAAAGAAAAATGAAAAATCTGAAACATCTTGAAGATCTAGAGTATCTGCCATTTCTTTTAATATTTCCGCCCCCGACGGTTTTCCGGAGTACGCTGATATATCAGAAATAATATGCTTCCTGAAAAATGTTCCGAAAATATTTTTAAGAATTTTGCACTCAATTCAACAAAGATGAAAATAAATACGTCCCCCCTTGTTGTCGGACTGTCTATAGAAGAACTCAGAACAATTATCTCTACACAATGTAAACCTAACCTTAACTTTATTTTCAAACTCCAATCTTCAGCTATACTTATATTCATATATACACAAATCTACTTCAAAATTAATATTCTTTCATAAATAAAAATATTTTTTTCTGATAAATAAGAATGTCTTTCTCTTTCTTTCTCTTTCTTTCTTTCTTTCTCTCTCTCTCTTCTTTGAATGGATCGTCTAGTCGTGTCTACAGCCATACGGATGATTTTGAAGAACGTTTTGAGATAGGTCGAGGGCTTGGGTTACTTATGAGTGTTGATAAATCCTTTCCTGTATGTAGAGCTTCGAGCCTAACTGGTTCACAGGCTTCCAAAGACGAAGACTTCGTTCGAAATGTGTGATTCCCCTCCCGGAAGTGGTTAATCTTGTGCCAGCGACACCACATCAAATCCTTGAAGACAGTCCTAAACTGCTTGCTGTAGAAACAGTAAACTACAGGATTCACCGCCGCTTGAGTGAATATCATCAACTGTACTAGCCGCCACAGCATGTCATTGTTGAATACGTAGAAGTACTTTAATGTTCTGACGAGCATGAATGGAAAATAACAGGTTACGAAAATACAAGTTACTACGGCCAACATTTTGGTGATCTTGCGCTGCTGCAGGCTCTGGCTTCCGGGTTTTATCGTCATCCTCTTTCTCATTGCTTCGCTCTTTTTTAAAACACGAAAGATTCGATAGTGCGAGTAAATCATGTACATCAATGGAAAAAGAAAGAGAAGTAGCCCTTGGATTGAGTAGTAGATTTGCCTCCCTTGGTCTCCCCATCCAATGTTAACACACTGTAAGACAGAATCATTATCTTTGACGATGATGTAAGCATATAGCAGCGGAGAACACGAGGCTATAGAAATTACCCAAATCACAACTGGAATTAACTTTCTCTGCTTGATTCTCTGCGATCTGGCAAGAAGTGGAGTCGTGACAGCCACGAGTCTCTCGCGACTTATCATGGCCAGCGTTAGAACTGAAGCCGTGTAGCTTGTCTCGATTAAAAAGCTCTGAAAACGGCAAACAAACTGTCCAGAAATCCAAGAACTAGCCAGGAATGCGGCCAAGTCTACTGGGGTAAGCAGAGTGAAAAGCAAATCTGCCAAGGCTAAACTTGCTATGTAACTCAATAGGATTGTTGTAGTGGTGACTTTATAATTCTTATAACATGTCAAAAGTGCAAATAAGTTCCCCAACGTCGCCATGAGAAATACTATAACGTAGTATCCAACGTAGATGTGGCGGACAAGAGGCGGGAAACCACTTTCCTCGTGTATATTTTTCGACACAGTGTACGAATCATTTGACATATTGGACACATTTTGCGCCATTACTTCAGTTATCGTATGAATCTAACTGCTCTGTCTCTCTCTCGTGCTCCGTTGGTTTTAGCTCTGACTCAGAATAATTATATCCCTTCAGTAATCCGGAAAAACAATATAAGAGTTATTCAGAGGCAGGGTGTGACAGGTATTAAACCACAAATTGTTTCATTCGTTGTCGTTACAAAACAATCAAATTCTCATTAGTCAGTTTTCAATCCAATGGCAACGAAGGCTTGTTTCAGCTTCTGTTTCGAGTAAGAAGTATATTTATAAATGTTTAGTTTATAGTTGCATCACGTCGCATGAAGACTAAATGTATTTATATCACGTATTTGATTTAGAATAACTTGGATATTTTTTAAGGTCAAGAGTAGAATGATTTGACAATGACCTGATAAAATTGGCACTTCATGAATATAATCCTCTTGGTTAAGTGATTCTAGGACCGGATAGCGTTTTTCTGTCCAGATTCCGCAATGTTATAATAGATAGGAGTTACGAACCAGCCGCACAGCACTYGTGAGTTTAGTTTCGAGATAATGTTTGATTTTTGGACCTATGATGATGAATGCTAAAACAAATAAAATAGAAAGGAAAATGGGATTGGAGGTCTTAAGTAAACACTACGTGAGAGGGTATGTAATATGTATATAACAGTATATAACCATGTGTCAGCGTGATGGCCGATTTACACGATACCACTAGCTGTCGAGCGCAACATGCTGACCACACGAATTGCTGTAAACCGACCGAATGAGTAATAGCAATGAAAGGCTAGACATTCGCTCGATCATTGAACAAGTCAGCCTTCCCGGACAAATTTTGCACCATTTTACTATACGGCTCCTACAATACTGAATTAGGAAAATTTATGACCACAGAAAGCATGAGAAAAAGTGTTGTCTCGACCACCTGAAACAAATAATCGGCGAATAAATAAGGAAAACCACGCTGATATTGTTTTTCTATATTTTCTATTCTCAAAAAAGAAATCAAAAATATTTTCTAAAAGGCGTGAAAATTGTACAAATACCGGACAAAATAGAAGATAAACAACTTCTTTATAGAGCACCTCTAAGGGATTAAGAGCGGCTGTCCGTAAAAACCAGACAAATTCGAAATTTCGTGGCAACAGTCAAAAAATCGATTT